AAAGGTCGGTGCAGAAGCAAATGGCAACAGTTTTTTTGGGATAAGAAGGGAGTTCTGATGGTGGACTACTTCCAACAGGGTTCAACCATCAGTGAAAAATAGTACTGTGCTTTATTGATGAAGTTGAGGCAAAACATCAAGGAAAAACGTTGAGGAAAGCTCTCCAAAGGTATCATCCTGTTGCATGACAACACCTCGTCACACACTGCAGGTGAAACAATGGCAAAACTGACCTCCTTAGACTTTCAAGTGATGCCCCTAGTCTCCCGACCTGGCTCCTTCTGACTATTATCTGTTCCCCGAACTCAAAAAACACCTAAAGGGATAACGATTTGGGAGTGTTTTGGAGGCAACTAATGCTGCAAATGAGTGGTTACGCCAGCAGTTGGAAGAATTTAATTTGCAGGGACTTAAGAAGTTGCAGGACAGATGTCGCAAGTGCCCTGACTTCCTGGGGGAATATGTAGAATAGTGTGGCAGTTACAGCTTCCTAGCTCAATTTTTTTTTCTGGGAAAGGCTCAATACGTATCAGTACCTCCTCATAGCTGAAGAGTCTGAAGTATGCCTATGAATAAATAAATAATAAATATGATGAAATATTAAAAAGATTGTGTTTTTCAGTTAAATAAAGTTAAGACACCCATAGAAGCAATGCAGAACAAGTAATAGCATTCAGAAAACCTCATATTCTGTCCAACACGTGGTTTGTACTGTTTCTTTTCAACTAGTGTGCTAATCTCAGTACACAGCATCCTCTGTTTTACCATGAAATACAAAAATGTTTCATTTACAGATTTGTCTAGAAATCATTTCTTTGGCTATTTTAAGTTCTTTTAAAGTTTCTAAACAGTGTATAAGTACCCTAATAGTATTTTGTAATTCCTGTTAGTAAAGCATCATATAAGAGGGTAGGGCCATCCTTTGAGATTCATTAGCAGTAGCTTCCACACAGACAAAATGAAGTCTTTGTCATTCAACATATAATTAATTTACACTATACAGTACATTATCCCACAATGTGACTGCCCTCAGTGCCCAGTTCTTAACTGCTTCCTTCCCACAATTCTCTGAAAAATAAAAAGAAGGGAAAAGAGAGCACATTTGAAGAGGAAAATAGAAGGGACGTTTCCACCTTCCCTTCCTAAGTATTATGATTAGACATGGGGACAAACTGTCAAAATGGTGGTTTGTGGTCCATCAAAACTGATTTCTGTTTAACTATGTTTTCGTCCCCAATCCAATTGTGAAAACTCATGGAAGAATAGAATACAAATGTTTGGGAGCTAGGAGAAAGCGTTGACTAAGTGATGACTTGTTATGTTTTCTTTATTTGCTGGGTTTATATCTCACTTTTTTCTCACATATGGGTTTCAAGATAGCTGATAGTGATGTTAAAAAGAATACAATGAAAACAAAGCAAGCTGAAATATTAAAACAGAATTAAATTGAAAGCCCAATTTAAAACAAAAACACAAAATCAGTTATCTGAAATCTCTGTATGTTTTTGGAAGTTTTATCAAACGTTATCTACAAATCTCCAAGCCCATCTTCACAACCGTTACTCCTACAAACACTACATTTTCAAATTTTACTTGATCTCTGTGTGTGCTCTCTATCTGACACACGTGTTCTGTTTTGCTTCTAAAAGTGAAAGGATTAATGGTATTCTAAACACGTGGTGGTGCTGCGGGTTAAACTGCTGAAGCCTCTGTGCTGCAGGATCAGAAGACCAAGCAGTTGTAAGATCTAATCCACGCGACAGAGTGAGCCCCCGTCACTTGTCCCAGCTCCCGCCAACCTAGCAGTTCAAAAGCATGCAAAATGCAAAAACGCGAGTAGATAAATAGGTACCACCTCAGTGGGAAGGTAAATGGTGTTCCATGTCTAGTCACTCTGGCCACGTGACCATGGAGGATTGTCTGTGGACAAAACGCTAGCTCTATGGGTTGGAAATGGAGATGAGCCTAGAGTAGGACACTACTGGACAAATTGTCAAGGGGAACCTTTACCTAAACAAATTACAGACATGGAGGAGAAACAAAAGAGCTCTTCATTTTGTTCTTGGTGAGGAATCTCACAGTGCTTTAAAATTTCTCCTTGAAGTATCTTATTATGTTGAGATAGTCTAAATCAACAACAGTAATAAATTTAGTGTTTCTTCTATCCATCCTACTTTATACACAAGAGGAGAAATGTGCAGATACATGCTTTCAGAATGATGATATATACTGTATCTATTCAGTGGTTCTGGTAAGGACAACCACTGCAGCGGTTTTCCTATTTTTCAGTTAAGAATGGCTTTTCTAAAAAAAAAAAAAATTCTTTGAAGATATCATTAAAAAAAAACCCTCCCCAGCTACATACAGTGTTGATTTGTAAGGGGAATAAAATCAGCAAAAACATTTTGGTCTTTTATAAAGGCAATGCTGATTAATGGCTTTTCTGCATAACTCCTCATACTAATGCTTTGGTACTCCTCTTCTCCCCTTTCACAAATTGGATTGTGACCTTTCATCACTTGTTGGCCTCCTTTCCTGAGTTGCTCATTAATCAGTACCACTTCTCTGATATGGTCTGTCATATCCTATTACTTACAATGCATGTAAGTGAAGGTGTATATACCCTGCACCTAACACAGTAAATGAATGCTGGAAAGTGTCTAAATTTACTGTCTTTCATAGTTTCCTTTCCCACAGATGTGAATTATAACAAATCATCACCTAGCCAATGCTTTCTCCCAGGTACCAAACCTAACATCTGTATTCTATCCTTCCATGCTTTTTCCAGTTGGAAGTTATTCCACACTTTATTTAGCTGACAGAGGGAGTTCAGAGGAAAAGAAATTCAAATTCAGCTGTTCTTAGCAGCTGTGCTGTGGAGCAGTCTTGGGACCTTAGGACTGTGGTAGATAACTCAATAGCTTCAACTCATGTGTGTGCAGTAAAAACAAACAAACACATTCTAGCTAAAATCCTGTGTTTGTACCTATGTGCCATATAAGGCCAATGAAGTCATCATCTGTGGCAAGTCTTTCATTTCTGAATATCGCCACTGGCAAGATGACTTTTCTGGCCATGATTTTTAAAAATTAAAGACTTCACTTTCCCATCCAGTGATGCCCTATGGCTTCCCTATGATGAAAGAGATTCCACAGTAGCCTCATCATCTTCAGGTAATTTCTGAAAAATTACCATGGTGCATCAGCTTTACACAGCTTCATTTATAGTAACAGAATTTCAGCCTCTATGTAGGACTGTCAGAATATAACATTTCTATAAAAACATATGGTGTGACCATATTTAGAATACTGAGCACAGTTCTGGTCACTGTACTTCCAGGTGCCCAAGATGGAAACCAAAATAATTGACTCAACCAAGGTTACAGTGCTTCAAATTGAATGGGCTTTAGACAAATTTTGAAGGGTAACAAGTAGTAGTTTCAAATTCAAATGATGGAAATCATGAGGGGTATGTGTAAAATTATACATGTGGGGAAAGTGAGTAGACAGATGTTTTTGGTTGTCATAATACCACAACATGAAATCACCCAATGAAGCAGAATTGTGGGAGATTCAAGACAGAACAATATTTTCCAAGCTTCACCTAATTAAACTACCATGGAGTGTGTGACGGCCACCTGTCAGGAAAAGCTTTGACAGGGGATTAGGGTAATGACTAGTAATAGCTTAATGAGTGGGGTACCTTGTTGCAGAGTCAGAGATCAGGAGTTTTATTCCCCACTGTGTCCCCCAGAAGAAGCCTGCATAGACATGGGGAAGCTATAAAAGCATTGTCAAGAGAAAGGGGAATAAAATAAACATTTCTGAATACTCTAGCTAGAAAACCCTGGAGTCACCATAAATTGGATCCACTCAACAGCTTGTACATTTAATTTTAAATAACCATGATCAATGGTTAACTAATCATGATATTCATTGCCTTCAGAAACAGTATTATCTCAGTACTACTGTTGGAACACCTAACTAGGAGAATGCTACTGTGCTTATGTT